TGCGCGGGGCCACCGGGCACCTTGGGTTCCCGGCGCGGCTCTCAGGTGACCGCGGTGTGCGCCGCCCGCGTCTCCGCAGGTTGCCGCGCCTCGCCCGCGCTCGGAGCTCCAGCCATGCTGTTCTGGCACACGCAGCCCGAGCACTACAACCAGCACAACTCGGGCAGCTACCTGCGGTAAGGGCCTTGCGCCCCTCCAGCCGCCCCGGCCCGATGGCGCGGCCCTGGGCGGGGTCGCGCCGTCCGACACCTAGGCGGAGAGGGGGCGCCCTCCGGGGCCCTGCGCCCGGCTGCGCGCCCTCTGGGGAGGTAGAGGGAGACCCACCCAGAGCCCCTCGTGGGGACCGATCGGAGGAGCCCGGGGGACCCGGCGCGCAGAGGGGATGGCCGGGTTGGGAATCTGGCGCCCGAGAGGGCCCCTCCCCGACGGCTCCCGGCCCGGGCGCACCTGCCGGCCGCGGCCTCCAGAGGCGTCCCCCTTCCGTGTCTCTTCTCACCCCGCTTTATGGGAGCGAAGAGAAAACTTCTGCCATCCGCGCGGGCCTGCCCTGAGAAGCTGTGCCCTGCTGCTTGCCCCTCTCTGAACCTAGCGCCCTTCAGGGGCCGGCGAGTGGGCCGGTGGTGGACGGGGAGGGCTCGGGAGGGGAGGCTGCCCTGCTCCAAGTGGTCTTGTTCTTGTTTGCCGAGGCTCGAACGCTTATTGCCCTTGATGGAAATCTTTCTTCTTCTGCAGGGATTTGACTAGTGCTCTTCAAAGGGAAAAGTAAGTCCTGCCTGTTTTGCAAAGTTCTCTACACCCCCCTCTTAGAAAGTAGGACCCCCATTTGCTTCAGTTCCAGGAAGATTTTTTTTTCCCCTTGTTGTGCAGCTGGCTGGTTACTAATGGGCAGTCATTTCACTTTCTGAACTCGCTGGAACCAGCTTTAGCCTGTCTTTATTTCTATCCTAGTCACAGTTTATTAAATGTCCCTAATTTAACCCAAAGGGCATTTGATGTGAGCTCAGGCAAAGTGAACTGTGAGGCTGAAGGCGTCTCAGGAACTGACGGCCCCAAAGCCATAGTTACCAACCCTTAGCGCTGCTTTTGGCTTCAAGAAGTTCCTCCTCCAATTTAGCATGACTACAGGTTATCATTCCAGTGTAGCTGTCCTCTCCAAAGGCCTCCCCCTTCCAGAAAGCAGAGGAACGAGTGGGTTTAACTGATATATCAGCCAGATTTTATTGACAGTGGTAGGAGATGGCAGAAAGTAGAAGGTCCTGAGGACTGTGGCCTCCCTGCAGACCCTGGTGGTGTCACCAAAGGGAAGCAGCTTTGGGGACACCAATCCCACCGAAAGGATGTTAATTTCTTGCAGAAGAATAAGGGTCTGCCCACTTAGAAAAAATGCTTCATCGATATTCTATAATGAACCCTAATAGAAAATGCTACCATGGGATGTTTTCACTGAAGTGCCCATTGCAGTTTTGTCTGAATTTAGTTTGTGGCCAGTAAGTATCTTGACATGCCTTAAAAATGACTTTGAAGGTGACCTTGAATTGGAGATGTGTGCAGTGTTTAAAGCTTCCTAGAGACCCAAGAGGTCCCATTAGGTAAGAGTTGTCCTCTTGCGTGAGAGGTACAGTTTGACATCCACTACCGAGATGTAGACTTGTCTGTGGAGTAGCGCTGGTACCTTTTTGGGCTGGTACTGTGTGAAGGGAGGAGGCCAAAAGTTGGGGGCGAAAGGTGCTATAAAGTCATCCTGGCTTGGGGGAGTGATTATGGGAAACCGTGGATGGTAAAGGTCCATAGTCTTTTTTTTCTTTTGGGATGCTGGGGATTGAATTCAACTTCGTGTGTGCAAGGCAAGTGGTGTTCCACTGAGCCACACTTCCAGCCTCACCTTTTTTTATGGGTCCGGAAGTGGAGTGGTCCGGTTAGCAAGGGCTCTTTCACCGAGCTACACCCCTGGCTCTTCTAGCTCTAGCTTTTTCAAATTTCATTTCTTGCTGATGGTCTTGCCTTCCCAGAGGTTGATCTCATAAAGGATAAGATAGGGGTCAGTGCATACATCCCTCACCCCACTACTCTAGAGAGGGGATCTTGTCCTTTTCCTTGGATTTTTTTTATATTTTTGGACTTTTTAAAAAATATTTTTGGACATTTTCACCCGGCAAAACTTCTGCAAGTTGTGTGACCTCCCCAGGGCAGTGGCCCTTACTCCCTTCTGTTTGATGTTCTGGTGACTTTTATTCCTTGTCAAATAAGGATGTCAGGCTTGAAGCAAGTTGCTGTTGAGTAATGGTTCTTAACCCCCTGAACCTCCCATCACTTTTTTTTTTTTTTAATTTAAAGGCAGGAGTGCATGGGTTATTAACTGAACATGGTCTGGACAAACATGGAGTTATGCAATCCCCAGGTGAGCAGGCCTGCCTGCTTCTCCGGTGTGTGTTCCTAGATAACCACAAGAGCTGGGAAAAGGAAAAAGGCACGCATGCTTCAGGGGAGCGAGGTCAGCCCCATGCTGTCCTCTGTGGGCAGCAGATGTGGCAGGGAAGCCTGCATAGGTAACCTTCCCGGCGTGCCCAAAGCCGGGCGTCTCCTCCTGAGTGCTGGTTAGCTGTTGTTGGGGTGTGTGTCGGTTTTGTATCTGAGAGACACACGTTTATGATGTGTTCAGAGGACAGACTGTGCCAGGGACGCTGTTTATGTAGTACAGTAGGGTCAGCTAGTCTGGTTCAAAACCTAGGACCCACAAAGGGAGGAGGGCTATCGGGATAGGGCGTGGCACTTTGTTATGCCACCTGTTTCTCTATAGTGCTCATAATTTAGAGGTCTTAAGCGAGTCTGTGCTGCTTGTAGTTGATCGTGTTCTCTTGTTGAGTGGGGTACACCTGAATTTCCAGCTACTTGGTAGACTGAGGCAGAAGGATCTCTTGAGCCCTGAAGTTTGGGGCCAGTTAGGCAATATGATGAGATGCTATCTTTTAAAAAGAAATTTAGAGACAAATAGCTCAGCTACATGCTGATGGGAGGCTGATTTTATTTTGATGCTGTGGGAGAGTTTTGTTTAGAGGTGGAAGAAAAGAATCCTTGAGCAACTGAAGACTTTTCACTTGGGTGAGAAAATTGACTTGAAACCCAGGTTCTTCCACCTCTTTTTGCATTTTGGAAAGATTGCTGTGAGCATTACTGCAGCAAGGATTATAGGCTCGTTGTCCCCTTTTCAGAAAGGGTGGAGGAAGACCTCAACGTGAGCGAGGGAAGCAAGCAAGTTTGCATGGGTTACAGAGTTCTGGAACAGTTTTAACTGGCCTAAGAATAACTAGTAAAGAGAAGAGTTGATTAAAAAATAAACATTGTTATCACTTATTATTGTGTCTTACTGGGGACTGATCCAGAGCCTTCACACTGAGCTACATCACTAATTTTTTTTTTTTTTTTTTTTTTTGAGACAGGGTCTCTATCAGGTATGCACCACTATGACGGGCTAAAAAAAATATTGTTCAGATTATTATTCTAAAAGTAAAACTTTGGGCCAGGATTATAGCTCAGCGGCATGGCACCTGCCTGGCAAGCACAAGGTCCTGAGTTTGATTCCCGGTATCAAAAAAAGAAAGAAAGAAGGAGGGAGGGAGGAAGGAAGGAAAGGAGGTAGGAAGGGAGGGAGGGAAGAAGGAAGGAAAGAAGACTTTATGAGTAGTCTTCTATGGACTGAAACCAAATGGCCTCAAAAGGCCACTTTATCGCTACTAGTCTCTCTGTCACTTAGGCTTTCTGGAGATAGCAGATAACTGCATTTTTACCTCCTAGACTTGATTGAGTAGATCTTGCCGGAGCCTGAGGGACCTTAGGATCCTGGAAGAGTGACTTCAAACACCTAGGAGGCTTGCGGCTGTGATCGACAATGCGCCAGTTGCCTTGCGTCTCTGACCAAGTCCAGCACCTTTGCTTGGCCTGCGGGAAGGGCTGCTTATAGCTGGTCCCTGACTGTCACTTCCTGTGTGTTGCAGTGATGTGCTTGCGCTGCCCATCTTCAAGCAGGAGGAGCCCCAGCTGTCCCCAGAGAACGGGGCCCGCCTGCCGCCCCTGCAGTACGTGCTGTGTGCTGCCACATCACCAGCGGTGAAGCTACATGAGGAGACCCTGACCTACCTCAACCAAGGTAGTGGCTGGAGCCCAGGCCAGGGGAGGACAGATGTGGGAGGATGGCCCTGACAATGGAGAGGTGATGTGGAAGGCCCAGCGGGGCCACATTTGTTGTTCCAGTAGGTGAGGGGCTGCTGGGGAAGGAGTACAGGCTCTGGTGTCAGACACAGGCTCAGGTTTCCCAGTTGTGGACTCTCCAAGTCTCACTGTCTTCATCTGAAAAATGGAAACATGGAAAGCCAGGCATGGTGGCTCATGTCTAGAATCCCAGCTACTCAGGAGGCTGAGGCAAGAGGATTGCTGGAGCACAGGAGGAAGCCGGGATGAGCCTGGGTAACATAATGAAACCTGTCTCCAAAGAAAGGAAGCCTCACTGTATTATGAGTGTAGGCCAGCAAACGTGTGGCTTGTGTCTTTGCTGCTCTATGGGTGGATACAATGCTTGGTGGCTGCTCCTGCTGTTTACTGGGCCTGCTACTGGTGACCTTCGAAGCATAGGCTGAGCACTGTTGGTTGACCAGGCCTGTCATGTGGCAGGGGTGCCAGGAAGGCCAGCCTGTGTCCTTGTACAGCACGGGGGCTGGGTTCCAGCCGCACCAGGCCAAGGCTCTTTGGGCCAGTGAGGATGAGATTGCTACCATGACTTGAGGGGATGAGCCTTGGAACTTGAATTCCTACTCCAACCGTTTGTGGCTCTGACTTTGAGTTCGTTGTCTTTTCTTTTTCCATGAGTGAAATGAGAAGCATAATTTCTTGTGAAGTTTAAAAAGTGGAAGGTAAGTGCAGCACCTGGCATGGTAGCGGCTGTTCTATTGTTGGTGCTCTGGTCAGAGCACACGGGCCGTGTCCCAGTGGGCGCTGTTTGTGTTGCAGCTGTGTCCGTGTGACTTGTGCTTTTCCTTCCCCGGGCATCAAGGCTTCTGTGCCGCCTGTTTACGTGGGAGGTGTGGGAGGGCTGTGGGCTCTGTGTGGGGAGGGTCGCACTGCTGTGGCGTCTCCTCTGCTGCGGGCAGCCGCCTCTGCTCTGTGGAACTTGGCCTCCTTTTGGGAAGCCGGCCGGGGTGGAAGTCCAGTGTGATCAGAAGGGTCTGTCGGCTGAACTCGCTGGCTCCTGAGCCAGGAGACGCTCTGGCTTTGCAGGTGGCTGTGGCCAGGCACATCATGTGGGCAGTGCTGTGGGCCTCTGTGGGTCTTGCCCAGCTAAGCTGTCAGCATCGGTGCCCGCCTCCGGGGATGGTCCTGAGGCCATGGCTTGTCACGCAGGCCGGGCCCATGGAGGCAGGTGACTGGCCCAGCACGACAGTGCCTCTGTCTCTGTGCTGTTTTTGCAGTGGCCCCTGCCCTTGTCCTTTTTCCTGTGGGGTTCTGCCGCCTTCTGGGTCTCTGCCATTTTCCTTAACCAGAGCAAAGGAATTGCATGGTGCTCTCAGAGGCTGCCAACCTGATGCTCCCGGCAACCTCCCATGGCACGGAGGTCTCACTGTGTGTCTGTGGTCATTACCTGCTCCCATTTGTGAGGTCATCAGCTGTGTTCTCTACACCCCTCTCCATTTTTTTTAGTTAGCCAGCTTGGGACAGGGTTTGGCAGTCAACATATTTGGTCTTTTAAAGGGTTTTGAAGAGAAGTTAGGGCGGGGAGTGCAGCTCAGTGTAGACATGCTTCCCTAGCATGTGTGACGGCCTGGGTTCCATCCCGGGACTACAAAATCAATATGTAAATGAATGCATTATCCTTTTAATATAGAGAGAAGAGGGAGAAAGCGGTACCCTATGGTGTCATCATCCTGTGTTAATTTCATGTATTTGCTTTACATTTATTTATTTATTTATTTAGTTTTTTTTTTTCAGTCCTAGGATGAAACCAATGCCTTGCCCATGCTAGGCAGCACTCTACCATCAAGCTGTAACCCCAGCCTAGAAGTGCATTTTAAATCTCCACAGTCAAGTCTGTCATTCTGGGCCGGGATGCGGCTCAGTGGTAAAGCCCATGCAAGGCTCTGGGTTTCACAGCTGCACCACAACAAACCAAACCAAAACAAAACAAAATTTTCATTCTGTTAAAGTGCTTGGAAGTGTGCCTGTCTGTCTTCAGACTAGTTTAATAGTTTTTGAAATTCCATTGAATGGTTTTTAAATTTTAACACTAAAATGCTTGAGGAATTTGTGGTACAACGTAAAGATCTAAGTTTCCTTATTTTTCTAAATAGCTAATGAACTAGTTGTTGCCTAATTTATCCTTTTCTCACTGGTTTAAAATATCACTTTGAAACATTTAAAAAACTATTGAAAAACTGTGAAATGTTAGGCCAGAAAGGGACTCTTGTTGATTCTTAACCCATTTCTTGTAGAACTCATTGTACTGTGCAAATTCATTCTTCCATTTGAGAGTACAAATTTCTTTAACTATTTTCTTGGCCATCCCCAATCATTTCTTCTCCTCCTCCTCTTTCTCCTGCTTTTTCTTGTGTTTGATATTAAACTTGGGGCCTCCCACATGCTAAGAATTATATTGAGTTCCACCTTCTCCCGTTTATTCATATAGATTGCTTTTACAGCCATTAAGATTTCATGCTGTACTTTTTTTGACCATTGAGGAAATCGTATGCTTAATACAATTTTCTTGCTTTTATTAAATATTATTCTTATAATAACATATTCCTTTATTATTAAAATATCTTAGATACTTAAAATGTCTGTGTGTTTTACTATTTCCTCTTGTTATTTAGGAAAGAATATTGTCATAACTTGGGGAGCAAATACACAATATAATTATTTTAGTGTCTTTCTCTCATAGAATAGAAATTTTGTGAGGCCCAAGCCTCGTCCCATTTATAACATTGCATCCCCAATTAAGTTTGATGCCTTGATAGTAGTAAATGCTCTATAACTACCTAGAAAATTATAAAAGTAGGGATGACTGCTTTTATTTTTTCTATCTCTATTTTTTTCTTTCTTTTGCTACTAGCAATAATGCTGTACTAGACATCTTTTTATTCTTAAAGTGCTAGGGATTGAACTCAGGGCCTTGCCTATGCAAGATAAGTCCTCTACCACCCAATTAGATCTTTTTTTTTTGGTACCAGGAATCAATTAAATTTTAAATTTTTAAACTTTATATTTTGAGACAAGGTCTCATTAAGTTGCCCAGACTGGGCTTTAACTTTGATCCCCCTGCCCCGGTCACCTGAGTAGCTAAGAATACAGTCCTGTGGTACCATGCTTTTTCAGCATATTTAAGTAGCCTATCTTTTATGTCATGTAACAAATACATTTTAATCCAATTTTAAAAAGTAGATTTGAACCTTGCGTGGTAGTATACATCTGTAGTCCTAGGTACTCAGGAGGCTGAGGCAGGAGAATCCCAAGTTTGAGGCCATCCTGGGCAACTTAGGAATTTAGTGAGACCCTATCTCAAAATAATGTTTTGAAAAAACTCATTCTCTCTTTCTCTTTTCCTCTCTTTCTTTCTCTCCCTTTCTCCCTCTCTTTGCTGAGGATGTTGCTTAGTGCTAAGTTCTTGCCTAGTTCTTGCACAAAGTTCTTGCCTAAGTTCTTGCACAAAGACCTGGGCTGTGCCTCTGGTACCGGGGGGGAATAAAGAAGATTTGACATAATTTAGAACATCGTTCAAGCCCTTTTCAGTTAATGGAAGTTTGCTATTCAGCTGTTGGTGTTTATTCGATTGGCTCTATGCTATTTAGTGGGCTATTTCTATGAGGCCATCATGCGTTCTTTTCTTTGTAGTGATGTGTTGAAAGTTCCCTTAAAACACGGGAACAACGCTGAATCTGTAAATCAGAAAGTTGTCAGCTGGACCTGGTGGCACAGGCCTGTAATCCCAGCACTCCCGGAGGCTGAGGTAGGAAGATCCCAAAGTCAAGCCCAACCTGGGTAATTTAGTGACTTAGCAAGATCCAAAATAAAAAAATATAAAGAAGCTGGAGATGTAGCTCAGTGCCAAGGCCCCGGGTTTAATCCCCAGTACTACTCAAAAAAAGTGTTTATGAAGCCACTGGACGCCAGTTTCTCAGCACGGTGTCCTGTCAGTGCCTGGACAAGGAGTGGCCTGGCTGATGTGTGTCACATTTGGGTGTCCATCTCTAAGCCCAGTGGCTAGTGCTGGACGTGGTGACGATGATTTGAAAACAAAGTATGTCCTTTTCCTCTGAAAGAAGTCTGTGTAAGGGGTGGATACCTGTTGGATGGAGGCTTGCAAGATCTCAGATAACTTTGTCAGTGGCTTAAGGTCACTGTGGAAGGTTCTTTCCTGAATGCTGAGAGCCTGAGGGAGAGGAGGAGAATGCCAGATAAGAAACAGCTTTGCGAGAATGATTTGCTATGGAGAAAGCTTTGATATATTCCACCAAAACCTTGAGTCTTAATTATATGAGTTTTTAAGGAGTCTTTTATTCATTCAAAAAATATTTTTTCGGTGATAGAGGAGGATGGTGACACAGAAATTAAAGCCCTTTGCAAAGGCTAGAACGGCTTGAAAGAGCAGACAGGGAGTGACGACTACTGAACACACTGTCCCAGAAAGCCTAAGGCTTGGGGTGAGTGGGCCTTGGAAAGTGAACAGTAGGAGTGATAAGGCTGGAGGCACCTAGACCAGGGACCCAGGGCTCTACCTGCTTCTCCAAAGATGGGTCCTGAGGCAGCCAGCCCAAGTTACTGAACCCTCCTTGCCTTATTGCTTACCTCTAAGATGTGGAAAATAAAATCTGTACAAAGTAGTTGGTACCATATGGATAAAATTTGTACAGCCAGGCATAGTGAGGCACACTATAATCCCAGCACTCTGGGAAGCAGAGGCAGGAGGATCACAAAATTCCAGCCCAACATGGGCAGTTTAGTGACTTGGTGAGACCCAGTCTCAAAACAAAATATAAGGACTGGGGATGTTGCTCAGTGTGAAGGTCCTGGGTTCAATCCCTGGCATCACTTGCACACACACGGAACTGGACAGTGTAGAGTGAGGTCCTGGTATTTGCTGAGGACTTACATTTCTGCCATTAT